GATTTTTCATTAATCAACCATATTAAATTTATAATAAAAAATGCCCCTCAAAAGTTTGCCTCTGAAGTCTTTTTCTAAATACAATGTTTTTTATTCTGAGTCTCCACAAAAATAAAAGCTAATTTGTTTACTTCTACTTTTCAAATTCCCTTTTTTCCCTTAGTTTACTACTATTAAATGTCTGTGCAGAAAATACACAGGAGCAAGAAGAGTGTGTGAAGAGTGCATGACCCACACAGCCCAGCACCCCGAAAGCCCCGCTGTGTACGTACACACACACACCCACCCACCACCACCACCTCCCCCCCTCCCCCCTCCACCCCCCCTGCAGTGATGAGCCGTCCACCTGGAGGCTTTGTCCCCGGATGGGACCTTCGTTAAAGGGACCATCACACTCGGCTCAGCCGTTCCCACTTCGCTCTAAAGTCAGCGAGACTCTCGGGGAAGTCGGGCCGGTCGGCTCACGCGTCCAGGGCTGACCACCCAACGGGCACGCACTCCTGTCCTTCTTGGCTTAGCAGCCGGAAGCAAACCACAGCAAGAACACAGCTCCTCGGAGCATCAGAAGGAAACTCCTCCAGCCTCCTCTCCTTCTGGAGTTAAGAAGGTAAGTGAGGAGGAGAGCTGGCCAGGTGTAAACAGCTCTCCACATCCACAAGGAAACTTGCCCTCTCTGATTTTTAGAACAGCATTTTAGGCCTTTGCTTTTCCCCCCTTCTGATAAAACCGTAAATTCAAGTTCTGCGTCCTCCTAAGCTTTATTTATAAGAAAAACAACAGCATGACACAGCGCCAGCATGCAAGCGCGGCCCCGGCAGCCAGGGTGGCCGAGGCCCTGAAGCAAAGTGGGCCAGAGGTCACCCCCACGCTGGGTCCCCAGTGACTCAGCAGTGAGCAGAGGGGCCGTGCCCATCGCCTCCCCACGTGAGCAGAGGGGTCCCCTTGGAGGGGAGGGGACACTGCTGGAGTCTTTCCTTTGAGTTAATCAGCCTCTTCCTTGGACGAGGGACCCGCCTGCGTCCCTGGCATCTTACCGCAACTCTGTTACCAGATCGCTGCTGTCTGCACACGAGAGGGCGGTGAGGAGCCAAGGCTGAGGGGAACATGACCCCTCCGGGGCGGTCTGCCCGCAGAGAAGCCCGCACTCAGAGGACGAGCTACTTCATTCTCTCCCTTCCAAAAGGACTGAACTTCCGAGCAAATACGTAAACACATTTGTTCATTTCCAACGAGATGATTTTAGAAATAAGTTCTCCCTGGCTCCTTAGAATAAACTGCATGATAGAATTTAAAACCATTCCACTCCTCAGAAAGTGGTGAAACATTCCGAACTATGGCATCAGCGAGCTTACTCAGGACAGAGCGAGGCAGGAAAAGGGCGCTTCCAGGAGATGAGCAGCGCTCCGCTGAGCCTCGGGTAAGGCTGTGTGCAGACTGCTCACCTGTGGGAGGCCGGCCCTGCGATGATTCCTGGGGTCAGTGGAGCTCAGGTTCCTCGCAGGCAGTGGTAAGACCACCGCAGGGAGCCGTGGGAAATCTGGCAGCAGTAGTGAAATGGGCTGCTCCACGCCTGGCCTAGAACAGGCGCCTACGTGAGGGTCTGTCTCCCTCCTCTGTGGGTGGGTCGTTACTCACTGCCTCACTTTTTAAGGGTGATTCCCCTGGGGAGGACTGCTCAGATAGCATTAACTTAAATGATGGAAAAAAGGAACAGAACATACACCATACTTGGCTGAACGAGATGAGGAACTGTACAACAGGTTCTCTGCATGCTTGCTGAGACCTGTAGAATATGGTTAAATTCTCACGAGGCGAAATAAAACTGTTCTCAAGTTAGCTGTCACCTTCTTAAATATAGCACGTCATCCTTTATTATTAAAAAGTCAATAAAATGACCCGGAAGCATAATATTAAGAGAGGAAGAAATCACCTATACTCTTGTCATCCCACTACCATCCTTTTTGAAACACTGGTCTTTGAAACCTGGAGCTGGCTGGGCACTGGGGAGACTGAGGCACAGGATGAGAAAAAGTTTAGCAGCAAAACAGAAACAGGACAGGAGCAGCCCAGGCTGGGGACTGTAGCCAGCCTCTCCCTGTTCAGCAGCTGTCAGACCGTGTCCACCACCGTGGTCCCTAGAAAAAGGACTGGGCCATGGGCGTGGGAGGGAGGGAGGCTCTGAGAAGGAACACGACATGTGACTAAGAACTTGGCTCAGAGGTTTATCCTGCCTGTTTCTGTAAAGGAAACACGAGGAATTAAATCTGATTTTCAGTAAGGAATTTCAGACCCAATGAAGGTGACCACTGTTCTCCAACCCCACCGGCCAGAGCAAAACAAGACCTTCAGCAGAGCCAGACTAGGATGGAGAGCGGCTCTGCCTTGACATTTACAGATTAAACCAAACCCTGAATGTAGGTTCCAAACTGAGTGGGCAGGTGTTGGGGAAGGGAGCGGGGAGGTCAGAAAGATGAGACTGATTGCAAGGGCAAAGGCACAGACCCCCTGGCTGGCCCAGCATCTTCCACTGGCAGCCGCCACAGCGGCACCCAGTGGGCTCAAACATAACTGCAATTACGACCCTCTCCAGAACCTTTTTAAACTGCACCAGTGCAGTCACCTCACAGAGTGATTACAGTTCAGAGTTGCTAGAAATGTCAGGAATCATCTGGGCTGCTTTGATGCCCCAGGGCACTACAAGTACCCGCGGGAGGAAAGGAAAACCTCCGCCCGCACGCAGAAACCCCAAGCCCGGCCCAGCCGCTCCCAGCAGGGCGGAGGGAGGGTCTGGCAACGGCTGAAAACACACACACATGCTGAGCGCCGCACCCCATTCTTCCCGTTTATGATTTAACATACTGCTGGACAGTCTCAACCTGAAGTCCCTACGCTCCTGTCTGGACTATTGTATCAACAGAAAATCTGGTTTCTTAGCTCTGCAAGAACCAATCACTTAAAAGGAATGGTACACGAAGGAAGGAACACTGGCCCAAAGCAATCTCCTTCCCATCTAATTCAGGCCATCAGTGCGACTAACCTCATCACGTAAGTAACAAAGAAGTTGCTCAGGGGAGCATCTCGTCAGCGTTTCCTCGTATCTCCTCATGTCTCCCACCACCGCCGTCATTTCCACCCTGTGTCCTTAACACCCCCAGCCCAGAGAAACGCCCACAGCCACTGCCTCTAACACGGGCGGCTACGCCTCCCACCACAAGGGAGGGAAGGCCCGCGTGGCACGGTCCTCCCAGGAAGACACAGGCAGCAGCAGCACAGAACGGTCCTGATGTTTACCCCCTACTCCCTTTTCCTCTCCTGTTACACTTAATCTCCCGTACTGGAGGGTCACCGCACAAACAGTGAGAAGATAAGACCACATCATGTAGCTGATATCACAGGTATTTTCTGACCCCAGAAGCAGTGGTTGGAATTTGGGTTCCAGTTAAGATAGCCTTCGGTGGTCGCAGGGAGAAACTCCTTGCTGCGCTGAAATTTTCCAAAAGCAACCGTGTCTAGTTGGTTTTAAGATGACTCATTTGCAAATGAGCAAGGAATCCCAACAGGCAAATCAGAGACTCATAAACAATCAGTAAACACATGAGAACAGCTCCATCTCACTGGCCAGCAGGGAAATGCAATTAAAACAAGATACCATTTTTACCTCTAAAACTGGTTAAAAAAAAACAAACCTTAAAATCTGATAACATTCAGTGTTTTCGCAGGTGTGGACAAATGAGCACTCTTCACCACCCTTGGTATAAATACAAATTGGAACAAAATTTCTCAAGGGCGACTGTGTTACTTATCAAACGTGCACACACATGCCATGACTCGGCAGTGCCACTTCTGGAAGCCGGTCCTAGAGACCTGCACCAGCTCGTCCAACAGCCACTACTGGACATGCGGATATTTAATTGCAAAGTTGACTTTTAAAATGAAATATAATTAAAAACTGAGTTCTTCCACTGACCTATTTGCATTTCAAATGTTCAACAGTCACACGAGGCTGGCGCTGCCAAAAGGGATGGCGCAGACACACGGCGCCTTCAGCACCACAGGAGGGCTCTGGGCAGTGCTGCCCGAGGACACTCGTGGAAGTGGGCAGACAGCCTGCGCAGCGCTGTTTGTAAAGCAAACTGAATACAGCAAAAAGGGGAACAGATAAATGTTACATTTACACAAGTATAAAAAGTATGAGGCGTTATCTATATGCCGAACAGAGGACGTGGCTACGGTACCTTTAGACTTATGCTGCAGAGCAAGATATGCATTTTAATATGTATATACGAATAGATGTATATGTAATCACATGAACGTCTGCAAGGATACATGTCAAACTATTAGTGGCAGGGGAAGAAAGGGGATGGAGAGAGGAATGGGAATTTTCACTTTATTCACATCTACACTGACTGAATTTGTTGCGACCAGCATATATTCTGTTGAAAAAAAAGATTTTCAGAAGTTCTACTTTTAGAAAGATGCCTTACTAGTAAGCCCTGAAGTTCTTACAGTCCACTCATTTCTTTTCTAAAGTGGTATTTCCAGCCTTTGGTTTCCGCATTTTCCTGAGGCGGGGGGAGAAGGGTATGGTTCTGGCGGTAGAGCACATGCTCAGCTGCAGGTGCCCCCCCTCCAGCTGGGAGCCCCCTACCAGCCTCTCCCCAGCAGCACGCCCCAGCTGTATGCGCTCCTTCGCCCTCTTTTCCCCCAGTCACACCCCCACTCTTTGCCGGCAGCTGTATAAAACCACCAACAGGATACTATGCTGTGACACTGCAACAGTGGCAAGGACCTCACTGGATGTGCCTCTGCCCCGCAGAACTAAACTCGGTCTCAGCCCTCGGCCTGACTGCGCAGGAGCAGGAGGGAGGCCCGCAAAGGCGGCAGGGGCAGCGGCAGCATGGGCACCTCAGACACAAAACCCCACCGATGAGAAGGGTTTTACAAAACAAAGTCAACCACACCGAATATAAGAAAGCAGCACCAGCAAGTCAGATGAGCAATTATGTTCCAAATGTGACGGGTTTATTTTATTTTACTCTGATGCCAAACCAAAGGTTCCACTACCGCACAGAGACCACTATGTGACAAGCCACGAAGGAGTGGTGTGGGCATGCAGGGCGCGGTGACAGCCAGAGGGCCGGCTCCCTTCCTTTGGAACACGTTTAAAGCAACACTGCGGAACTGAACTGAAATGTGGCACAAACAGGACCACTTCCGGGCGTGCCTTCAAGCACCTCCCTTACCACGGACTCGATCTCTAGCTTCAGTGTGGGGAGGATTACAATTCTTTGGAAGAATAAAAAGTTCACACTTTTGAAATTTCACAGAAGAATTTTAAGGCCAAAACATAGTGGGTTCATTTCTCTTCACCTCCAGGGACAAAGCGGACGCTTTACTCAAAAACCCCCACATTAAGCTTCCAGTTCAAATCCCAGCCCCACCTTGTGACCACCGGCATTGAAGTTCTTTCCATCGATGAGAGCGGACAGGGTCAGCTTGACTCCTAGGAAGAAGGAGACAGACACCACAGTCACTCGTAACAAGCATTAGTCAGAACTGCGCTCTCTGGAAGCAAGGCTGGGTGGATGCCATGGGTTCCAGCTGGCTGCGGGAGTCACGGCTGTTACTGACCCGACACCAGTGACCCACAACCACCCACCTGCAACGAGAAACGCACAGTCGTGGCACACTGTATGTGGAATTCAGGGTTAAGACTAATTAGTGATCAACCAAACTCGTAAGCCAGAGTAACCGACTTGTAATTAGACAAATGTTTTTAAACAAGAGTTCTTGATCTGTTCTTTGAACCAAATGTTACACAACGGTCTGAATCAACCTGCAGGTTGTGGGTTACTTTCATTATTCCTCTGTCTCCTGCTACCCCAACCCAACATTACTCATTCCTTTACTCACCTGGTCGAAGGGTCTGAGTATAACCCAGTCCAATCAGGCTGGCATTGTTTACTTTAGCCTAAGATTAGGAGATGAAACAGAAACAGAGAACAATTTCAATTTCATAATATATCATTCCAACACAACCACTTCACGCATCAGATTTCTAAAGCTGAAACACCTCAGGGCCAATCCAGAATTACTGAAACTGAAAATTAATAGAAGATAAATCTTTCAAGAATTCAGCAAGACTGGTAGGAATGGAGCGGACCTTAAGAATGCATGCTTAGAGGCCTGAAGCAAAATTTTAAAACACTGTGCAGCCAAATACCCCTCCCCGTGAACTGAATTCTTCTGATACCAGTTTACAACACCTGACAGTGGTTAGAGCATGAACTCTGGTGCCAGACAGATCTGGGCTGAAATCTTGGCACTGCCTCTTATTGTGCAGCCTTGAGCAAGTTACCTGACCTCTCTAAGCCTCAGCTCCCTCACCTCTAAAATGGGGATAAGGATACAGTACTCACCAAATAGGATTAAATGAGATAATACACATAAAGCCCTTAGCACAGTACTTGACACTTAAGAGCTCAATTAGTGGTATTAGTAACAAGAATTACTAATAGCAACACGAATAGTAATCGAATCCCAGGAAGCGACAGATAAGAAAATTTTGAGGCCAAAGAGATAAAATGACTCAAGAAGGTCAGACACTGTGCGCCAACTGCACTAACCCCTGGCAGTGTTTTGCTGCCTGTGAGAACAGTGCAGGGAGGTAAGAGGTCCACTAAGGCATTATTACAACAAACACATGGGGAGCTGGGACTAGGACCCGTATGTCCTGACTTCACTACACGATGACTGACTAGCTCAACGTTAACAGAGAACATGCAAACAACAAGCCTTCTGCAGCAGCCTTTACAACGTGGATGAAACCCTAAGAGCCCATCCGGTCTGGCAGCACATTCTTACAGAGAGAGAAGTTCTACAATCCAGCTTGTACTTAGCAGCGATGCCAAAACGGGTGTTGTTACTGCCAGCCGTCCACGCCAGGTTTATTGACGTTTCAATCTTCTCATTCACCTTCTGGTAGATTGACCCTCCAAATTCAGTGCCATCGTTCCTGTTTTCATAGCAAAAGAAAAAGTCATAAAGATCTAGCTTGTACCGTTGTTACAATACAGAAACAAATTCTAAGACCATCTAAACCAGGGTCTCATTTTGCCACTACAGATCTCAGCAAACTTCTAGCACAAATGACTGCCAAACAAAGCAAGGAACCGAATCTAGCTGTGTAATTTATAACCGCCTAATTAAACCACAGTAACACTGGATTCATTCACTTGGCTCCTCCACAGGATATAAATTTCTCAGACACCATTCAATTATGCACAAAAGCAGACACCTCCGGTAAATACGATCTGTGTGTCTCTGAGATGTTCACACTGAGAAATTTCAGAGTAGAGTTCTATAAAGATCCTGCTAAAAAAAAAACTTACAGTGGTACAGGCCAACTCTGGATTTCATTCAAAACACAATCTTAGCGTTAGAAAGCAGCCCCTTACAATCTGTCAGTGCGCAGCCCCAGAGAAGGACCCAAGGTACTGCCTCAGAGCATCCCAGCAGTCAGTCCCCGAGTCCTCATGGTTCCCTAACAGTGCTGTTTCATCAGTTTCAATGCCTCTGTCTACACCACCGCTGACTTTATTTTAGTCATCACAAGTGGATTAGTGTCTAGTGGAGACCGACCTGCAACCCTTCAAAAATGCAAAGCTCATCCTCTGCCGTTCTTCCCGGGACAGCAGCAGTGCCCAGGAAGTCAAGACAGAAAATACCATTTCAAAGTTCAAATTCATTTAACTAACAGACTGCAGCCTACAGACTTGAACCCAGGACCGCTCTGAGGACTTGTGCTACTTCTAAAAGCAACAGGGGTAAACTGGGTTCTGACCAGGACACCTGAAAACCTTCACAGAATTACAGGGGCTGCTCCAGGATGCTCAGTTCAATGAGGGGTTTGTTCTCCCTGATCCAAACAGACCTGCTTCCAGAAACTGCCAAGATGAGCAGGGAGCCAGAGGAAGCAGGAACATCTCCAAAGGATCCCTTCTGACAGGAGGCGACCTATGCCCCGGGCTCTCTCCAACCCAGTGGTTCTTCTACAGATCCTAGGGCAGTCCGAAGTGTGAGGTCCAGGCTCCGAGGCAACAGCACAGCACTGTGCGCCAAGTGCGCTAACCCCTGGCAATGTTTTGCTGCCTGTGAGAACAGTACAGCGAGGTAGGATGTCCACCAAGGTGTTATTACATGCAAATACCACCCCTTCTAACCTTCTCAACATGCTAGCGGCTACCATCTTTGTGGGCGACGGCACCGGCACTAAAGGAGGAAGGCTGAATTATGAACACTCACACGTGAGTGTGCAGCTGGAAGTCTGCAGCCTTGTAACCCAGGGCGAAGTTGTTCTGTGACAGTTTGGATTTGGCTGTGTCAAAACTCATCTGATAGCCAGCAAGCCAACCTTCAAAGGCCAACACAGCCCAGCCATAGATGGTTGGTCCAGAAAAATCTATATCAACATTACTGCCAAGACTGAAACAATCCCGTTTATAGGAAGCCTTCAATTTCCCACTCTTCTTTCTGTAAAAGACAGATAAAAACAACGTAAGTTTTTACTGCTGTCCAGGAATCTTTAGGGTTGGATCCCTTCTCTCCCCCAGAGTAAACACTATTTTCATAGATGGCACATATATAGTAAAAATGTTTCAAATGACCTGGCTCTACAAATATAATTTAGTTAGGATTAGAAATATATATATTATTTTTTAATCTATTCCTCACTATAATTTCAAATGATGGGCATTTCATGATTAATTTCATGAAAGCATAAGGGAAGTACAAAAAGGTGTTAAGAAATTTCAGTACAAATCAATAATCTGAAGGTGTATGTACCTAGATATACAAGAAGCCAAATTTCTTCACATATTCCCAAATGCTATAAAAGGTAACACCCAACACACTTCTAAATGATTAACCTGCCATGCAGAGAAGTGCACTTATTTTTGGTAAGCTTATTTACTTTTCTTAGGTCAGTGTTTTCTCCCTGGATAACGTCAGACGGATGGAAGAGAAGTGTGCATTTCTGAAGGACAGTAGTGAAACACGAAATTAGCTCCCACTGGTTCCTGTGCTGGTGCCATCAGGCCTTTTAGGAGAACCCTTGTCTGAAGATAGTCAAGTGTGGAGCAGGAAGGACACACCTGTCGTCACAGCTGAGTTGTGCCACGTGGCCCCCATCGAGCACGGCTGTCCTTACACAGCACTGCCCACGTCAGCCAGACAGGAAGCAACGTAATCTCCATTTCTCACATGAAATTGAGGCAAGAGAAGTTCGGAGATTTATAAAGGCTAAGAATCAAGGAAGCAGCAGAGCTGCTCTCTGCGGTGTGCTGGTGCCAGGAGACTACTCTCTTCTCTTAGGATATTAACATCGTAGCCAGCATCACCTCCAGCCTAAGAACCATCTAGTCTCAGACCTCGCCCTGCTCCAGGGAGTCTCACCGCAGCCTCCTGAGCACCGCCTGCAGCTCAGCGTCTCACTGCACCTCCCTGTCCTAAACCTCCCTATCCCTTCAGGCCCCAGAATCATTTCAGAAAACGGGGTTTAGATAATTACCCTGTGTTCGGTACAAATATGGTATCAAGAGTCAGTTTCAACCCTTCAGCCAACTGAAAAATAAAGATTTAAAATGAACAATTAGTAATTTTCAATTCTTTTCTTGACTTGAAAAAACAATTCTAAAGTTTTTTCTAACTTCCTCTCTAACAACAACTAAAAGGAAGTCATTAAAGAAAGCCAAATATGAAATTATTTAATAAACTGCCTCTTCATCCTTCCCTGCCCCTACCCCAACTCCCCCCAGGATTCATCATGAATCTCTCACCAAAAAACAGGCTAAAACATACAATTATTACAATCCCTCCCCTATTACAATCAATAATGTGCACAAAACAATAAAATGCCAATACAACAAAGTAATCGTGATACTCCTTTTTCTTCTTTTTATCCTTTAATTTTTTTGTGGGGGCAGGTAGTTACGTTTCTTTATTTTTAGAGGAGGTACCGGGGATTGAACCCAGGACCTTATGTATGCTACACATGCGCTCTGCCACTTGAGCTACACCCTCCCCCCGATACGCTCTTAAAATTATTGTGATAACTGGACCTGTCACAAGCCAGCCTAAGTAACTTATTCAGCCATACGTATATACGTTATCTACATATGGTACTGTGCACAGACACAGACAGCAAAAAATAGTGCCCTGAACATAGCAGGCACTTGACAAATATTTGCTGAAAGATTTTCTCTATTAAAAAAATTAAGGAATTTTAGAAACATTCTTCTGTGGAGTCAGTTTTGCAATGATTACAAAACAGAATTAAACTAAATCACTGCAAACAGCTTGGTCTACTCAGGAGAGGCTCAGCTGTGAACAGTCAGAAGAACCATCAGAAAAAAAAAATGTGACAATTACGTGCTCACCAACAAAGCATTACTTTCGAGAAACATGAAACATACCAAAGGCGGCCATGCGTAGAGAAAAAATGCACCAACTGGACAGGGTGCAAGCTCTCATGCAGATTACATCTGGGGGTTTGCTCATCATTTTACCTGCAAGGTGAATTCACCCTACTAATAACCTCTAACACCCCTCTCACCTTATTCTCCAAAGAGATCTCTGTCCCAAGAGTGTTGTCTGTGTTCCACTTCTGGGTGAAGGTGAGCCCATAGTTGCAGATCTTGTATTTGGTCTCCAGGTTGCCTGATGCTTTCCCTGTATCAGTGTAAGCATGACCCGAAGTCGCAAATTCCTGATAAGAAAAAATAATTATTTTAAAATCAGCTCATTCCAGAAACTAGTGTTCAATGTACGGAAACCACAGCCCTGTTCTGCAGTGGCATGTCCCTACTTCCCTTCCTCCATTCTGACCTCTGAACATTTTACCAGCTTTAGATCTTCCCCTTACTCCACCTCTTACTGACACTTCTTGTGCCATATACTCTCTTCCTAAATGGGAATCTCAAACTCTCTCTTTTGGAAGAAAAATACCTTTATTGAAAATAGATGCCTTTCCTAAAAAGACAAAACTATTGAATCTTAAATATTTTGCTTCCACGACCTGAAAAAGACTATCAGTTCACCAAATCTTTTGAACTATTAGTTAATTTTAAGGCCCTTAAAAAACCCAAAACACTAGAAGCCCTAAACTCCCCTCTTTTTGAATAAGGTCAGACCTTTACTGCATTAAAATTTTTTTTATTTTTATTGTGGTGAAATACACTTAATATAAAATGTACCACTTCAACCATTTTTATGTGTACAGTTCACTGGTATTAAGTACACTCACACTGTTATGAAAACTTTATTGCTTCTGTCCACAAAACTATAAAACTTTCAGCATAAAGAACATCAATATTTGAGCAAGGCTATCCTTTAGAATAGAAGGAGAGAGAAAGAACTTCACAGACAAGCAAAAACTGAAAGAGCTTAGCAACACTAAACCCATGCTAAAAGAAATATTGACAGCTTTACTCTAAATAGAAAAAAAACAAGATGTGACAAAAATGAGAAACTCGTAACTGGAAAAGTGATAACTACCATGAATTACAAATAGAATAAACACAAAATTGTAAAAGAAGACATCTAAATCGTTAAGAGTGGGAGAGGGAAGCAAGGAGAGCAACTGTGGAAAACAGTATGGAGATTCCTCAAAAGACTAGGAATAGACTTAACATATGACCCAAGGATCCCGCTCCTGGGCATATATCCAGAAGGAACCCTACTTCAAAATGACACCGCACCCCAATGTTCATAGCAGCACTATTTACAATAGCCAAGACATGGAAACAGCCTAAATGTCCATCAACAGATGACTGGATAAAGAAGAGGTGGTATATTTATACAATGGAATACTGTTCAGCCACAAAAACCGACAACATAACGCCATTTGCAGCAACATGGATGTTCCTGGACAATGTCATTCAAAGTGAAGTAAGTCAGAAAGAGAAAGAAAAATACCATATGAGATCGCTCATATGCGGAATCTAAAAAAAAAAAACAAAAAAACAACAACAACAAATACAAAACAGAAACAGACTCATAGACAGAATACAAACTTGTGGTTACCAAGGGGGCAGGGGGTGGGAAGGGGCAGATTGGGATTTTAAAATGTAGAATAGATAAACAAGATTATTCTGTATAGCACAGGGAAATATATACAAGATCTTGTGGTAGCTCATAGCAAAAAAAAAAAGTGACAATGAATATATGTATGTTCATGTATAACTGAAAAATTGTGCTCTACACTGGAATTTGACACAATATTGTAAAATGACTATTACTCAATAAAAAAATGTTTAAAAAAAGAAAATAAAGGGTGAAAAAAAAAAGAATGTCAATATTTGACAGTATCTACCCACTTTACACAACAAAATGGAATGTTGTCAACTCATCCCTCTCCCCCCACCCCCCACCCACTTTTCAGAGTGCGTTCTGTCAAAGTTACTATGAGTGCCTTAAAATATATCCTCTTCCCTAGTTAGGTATCCCTTCAGTCATATGACAATAAGCAATTAGAAATAGCTCTCCTTCTAGGGGGAAACAAACAGTCAACACCTGCCACTGACAATCTATGAACTGTCAAGGAAAAAACATTCTGTTTTTAAAGAACGTTTCTGAACTATGGCCAACAGTAATGAAATGCCACCAGCCCTTGCCAGTTGCTTCGCTGACTGCAATACGAGTCCTCCTTTCACCAAATACCCTGCTGCTCCCTAACTCTCGTTCTCCAGGCTGATGAAACAACTGGGGAACTGTGATCTGTTTATCAGCGCTGCACAGAAAGTCTTCAACGGGAGTATCCTGCTGCACACTTGGGGCACGGCTTTGGGAGAACATGATAGAACGTAGTCGTACTTAACAGGTCACATCGCTTTCTTTTAGTAGATCCAGCTACCCAGTGTTATCACTTTTCACATTTACCTTTTATAAACTTGAAAGCGTAGCAAAGATAAACCTTAATTCTGGTGCAAAAACATTAAGGTAAAAGAGTATTTCGTCTACATTTCTTTCGTACCATCATCATTCCTTAGCCTGAAGCTCTGCCAAAATTCTAAAATGCCAGAGGTACAAAACTCAAAGTGAACGCTAGAATTTTCCTAAGCTGAGTTCCAGGCTCATAATTGCTTCAGTTTTTGGTCTAATTTCATAGTTAGATCAAACAGTGCAAAATATATTTATAACATGCAAGTTCTGCATTCAATACTAGTATGTGACAGAACAATCATTAAAATGTTAGTGTTATAGACGGCATGGCACAAAAATATCGAGACAATCTAAGAAATTTGGAGCAATGGATGAAGTTTATCCTAAATATCAGAGAACAAAAGCAGTCATAAAAACAAGCACACAAATATGCTGTTTTTCTTACCATCTGAATGAATATCCCCACACAACAGCAGCATGAAAGGGAGATAAAATTTCAGTTGTTGATTCTTGCAACACAAACCTACCTTGAGCAAGTTCTGAAGCCCTAATCAAAATGAGTATAATTTTTCTGTTTTAACCAATGATATAACAACACCCCATCCTAGTTGGGTAGTTGCACACATACTTAACCACTAGAAAACCCAGGGAAAGAAGAACGGTGACAAACCAGGGTTATTGTAAGACAAAGAGCCATAAATACTCCACATGCTTCCTGCCCTTCTAATTAAATCCTTATGTCCAGAAATAAAATGTGCACTGGTTTGAAAGGTAAATACCAAACAAAAGAGATGCAGCCAGTAAGGAGAAATCAGAGAATAAGGTGAATGTAAAATTGATTTATTTGCTGAGACTCACTCAATAAAAGCTCTGGTTAGTGATGCTTTGATAATGTGCTGATATATCCTTTACCATAGCCTTTTTTTTTGTCTTTTTTTGGGGGGGTAATTAGGTTTATTTACTAATTTTTAATTTTTTAATAGAGGTACTGGGGACTGAACCCAGGACCTTGCGCACGCTAAGCACACACTCTACCACTGAGCTATACCCTCCCACCCTTCCTTTACCATATTCTTAACTTAAAACAAAAAAGACTACTAACACCAATAAAAACTGAAGGCTAATCTTCTACATGCTTTTCTACATTCGTTTTTACTAATCATGAAGGGACAGAGATGAAAATTAATCTGCCTTTGTAAAAGGGCAATAAAGTTTGCATGAAACCCAGTACAATGGAAGCAAAGATTTTAGTGTCCATGTAGATATTCATGAAAGTGTAAAGATATGATATGGGTCAAAATAAACATATACTTTCTGTACCTTCTGAGGATAAGACTCAGAGTATGCTTATTACAACAAACACAAACGGTCTCCCAAATTCAACCTGATTATCTTCGGGCTCAAACCGCCAAGCGGCTCACTGAACTCTGAGAAGAGAGCAAAGTTGCAGGGAAGATGGCGTAGCACCAGAAGTATGCTGTTTCAAGTAATGTGACTAAACAATGATTTTTAAAAAAGGTTCCTTTATGTTACTTACGCTGCATTTATTAATAATATATTAAGTACTTACCACTCCACTACATGACTTGGTTCTCAGATCTATTTTGACCATGCCAAACCCTAGACACACACACAAAAACACAGTAATGTACAAAATGTGACATGCACTCTAGTCTTAGAGATTATGAACTTAGAAATCAGCAACTTAGAAATTAAGAAAATGGTCCATAATACATTCCATGTGGAAAATACAGTGTTCTCATTACATGAGAGTTCCACAAGAAACTGAACTGTAACAAAACAACTTCAGTGTAATTTTTAAGCCCCTCAAAATAGAGAAATATTTTTAAAATACAAATTAAAGAACAAATGAATGAAAGGAATATGCATTATTTTAAGAACCCAAATTATCAGAAAATATTATGCAGATATACATACAATTAACATTACTAGTTAATAAAAAATCAAATGTGTGGGGCACAAAAAGACTAAATTTTAAAAACTAGAAATAAATGTCTACTTGGTTTCAAATACTAAATGTTATTCCAAAGCCAAAAGCTGTGTCTTCACTCTCATGAAAATACTGCCATTATTTGGAGGAGGAAAAATACACTCCCTACTTTAATTGTCCCCAGGGCTAGCCACAGGAGGCATACATATTACAGATTGATATTATTTCACCTAACAGATAATATTAAATACACACAGGTATGTGTTCATGTATACCATGGCTTTTAATGCTGGTGGGACTCTACCTCTAAAGAGGTCTAATAACCTGCTAACAGTTATCCCTTTAAATCTGGTGAAGTAGATTAATGTTGATTTAAGCTTATTTTATTAAGCAGAGTATTTTGCATATAGCAGGCAATTACTGATGCTTACCCAAAACTGGTCATTTACAATAGCATACTTACCATATCCTTTGTTGAAGACATCCTTGGCAGCCTTTCCTAGGTCACAGTAAGTCGGTGTGTTACACATATCTTATAAAGAAAAGTGAGGACAGAAGAATAAAAATAACCATTTAGTATTTACTCACTGTCCCTCAACTGTTTAGTCCTCTGAGAAGACGTATGCAGTTTCTTTCTTCCTTTCCATCATTAATGCTTACACCCTAATGCAAGCAAAGTTAAGAGAAAACATTCTGCTCCTTTAAAAAGAGCTTTCCAGAACACTGGAGAATGAAAGGGTTTTTTCATGAGAGTCACAGAGGTCATCTTTCTGATTGCATTTCAAAGAAAAGAAATTTCTCACAGGCTGAAGGAGATGCTTTGTTAAACTGGGCTTTTACTTCTTAAAAAAATGCAAAAATTTACATTAGAAAAACATTTCTTGGGCTGTTATAAAGCCAAAGAGATGTATAAGATGAAAGGGAAATTTGTTGAGGAACTGTAAAATAGATGCATTAAAAATGAACATTTTTGTCACTCTGAAATTCAGTTCTTAAAATAAGCATTACCATACTAATTGAAATGTATTCATCCAGAATATGCCCTCTCTCAAAGCTCTTCTTAAAGTGCAATAATCTTACCTATTAGCCAGAAATAGGAAAGATTCTACCTACAGTAATCTGCTTACCAAAAATTGGTGTACACTTTGAAAACCCAAGGTGCCTTGACTTTTTCATCCTGCCTACTTAGTATTCAGCCAGCTTTTCTACGGCCAATATGACCCTCACAGTCCTTTGACCCCTGTGCATCACGGGAAATCTCTCCCTGCAGCACCCTCAAAAGCCATATCTAACCAATTGTAGGACCACCTCAAGCGACCCCATTAGCTCCCTTACTACATCAGAAAAATGCAAAGCACCAGTGAGCCCCTGCAATTACTATGCCTGAACCACCTACAAACTCATATTTATTTATATTTAGCCTAGCTCATAATCTGGCCTTCTGTAAGTCTTTGCCTATTTCATCACACTTGAAAACAACACACTATAATGCACTTCTTAACTGTGAATTCATTTAAAATGTGTTCCTTAACCTAACCGTGTCAAATATGACAGACATATGTTAACACACCCGAATACAGTACAAACATATATATATAAAGTTAAGAGGAAAGAGCATAGTAAAAATGAAAGAAGATAAATGTACTGACTCACAGCATAATAAAACCATGTTCTAAGCCACAGGGTTTCATAGTTCACTTTCAAAGCAATTAATTTACAATTCAGTCCCTTGTGTTCAAACGACCAAATTCTAGGTTTTTTACATATTGCCAAACGCAATTTTATATCACTCTTTATGATCACAACTGATGCTGGCATCTGTTGAAATTTTGCCAGAAGTCTATAATTTGGGGAGGTTAAGCATAGAAATGCTAAGGCTTTACCGTCTGGCTTTTTATCTACTGACAAGAGAAAAGACAGACTTAAAAGTTTATAAACATCCATCTAGGGGCTAAATACAATCTTTTAGCATTTTGCTTCTTCTTCAAAGCCACTGCCAGATACTTCGCAAAAGTGTAGGTGGTTTGACCTCAGTTTTGCCTAGTTCAGTCTTACTTTTTCAGTCCCACGATTCTGATCGGAAATGCACTGCTGGTATGATCAAGCAAAAACTCGAGAAGACACAGAGACTTCATTTTACACACATTTTCATTACGAAAGCATTTGTCTGTGGACTTGCAAGGCGCACCGGGGTTGCATTAGCCGCAGTCGGAGGGTGGGGGTAGCGGTAGGGGTGGAGGGTGGGGAGTGGGGGGGTGGGGAGGGGGCTCTGTAACAGCTTTACACAATTACTAACGGACAGTCGGCCCGTTTCGCCTCTTTAAGTTGCACATTCAGCATCCTCCCTTTAGCGGCAGGGAGTGGAAGAGCTTCCCTGATGCTGGAAGCCAATTCTGGAGGGGAAGCCGGGAGCGGGGGTGTGTCGTGGGGTTCAAGGACCCAACTTCCCTCGAAACCAGCCTCGCGTCCGGCCTGACGCCGGACAGACGTCCGTGGGGGCCGCCGAGG